TAGCCCCACCAGACCAGCCCACCAGACCACCAGCCCCACCAGCCCCACCAGCCAGCAGCCCCACCAGACCCACCAGCCCCACCAGGCCCCACCAGGCACCACCCACCAGACCACCGACCAGCACCAGCCACCAGCCCCACCAGACCACCAGCAGCCCACCAGCCCCACCAGCCACCAGCCCCACCAGACCCACCAGACCACCTGGCCCCCAACCCGCAACTCCCGAAGCAAACGACGCCCTCCCAAATCCCCATCTCCTTCGTTCGCCGTTTAAAGAGCCCGAGTAGATGGGGATCAGGGAGGGGAAGGAGGCCAGAAAATATATAGAGGAGAGAACCCCGCGGATAGGAATAAAAGAAGAGGAAGAAGGAGAAGAAGAGGGAAGGAAGGAAGGAGGTGGAGGAGGAGGAGTAGAGAAGAAAAAAAAGAAGATGGAGGATGATAATAATAATAATAATAATAACAAAATAACAATAATAATAATAATAATAAGGATGAGGAGAGAAGAAGGGGAAGAAGGATGAGGAGAGAAAGAAGAGAAAATAATAATAATAAGAAGTAGAATGAGAAGAAGAAGAAGAAGAAAACCTATCTACGTAAGAGAACGCTGTCATGTCTGTGGTTCTATATCTCAGTCGATCCAACGACATCGAACAAAAGGCTAAAAACACCTCAAATAAACAAAGAAATAGACTAGTATGTAGGGATATAGATATATATATATATATATATATATATATATATATATATATAGATATATAGAGAGAGAGAGAGTAGAAGAGAGAGAGAGAGAGAGAGAGAGAGAGAGAGAGAGAGAGAGAGAGAGAGAGAGAGAGAGGAAGAGAGAAAACTGTAAACGCCAAAAAACAGATAAAAACAGATAAGTAAAAACAGTAAAAGAAAAAAAAACTAAAAGTTCCCCCTAAGAAAAAACAACAAAACGCAAAAAAAAAAAAATAATAATAATAATAAAAAAATAAAAAGCAAAAATCCCCCTTCCCCCTTAAAAACGAAAACCCCAACTAGAACGAAAAAAAAAAAAAAAAAACCGAGAGATAAAAATAAACACGACGTCCCGAGGGATGAGCCCCACCAGACCCACCAGCCCCACCAGCCCCACCAGACCCACCAGCCCCACCAGACCCACCCACCAGACCACCCCACCAGCCCCCACCAGACCCACACCACCAGACCCACCAGACCCACAGGCCCCAACCCGCAACTCCCGAAGCAAAACGACGCCTCCCAAATCCCCATCTCCTTCGTTCGCCGTTTAAAAGAGCCCGAGTAGATGGGGATCAGGGAGGGGAAGGAGGCCGGAAAATATGCCAGAGGAGAGAACCCCACGGATAGGAATAAAAGAAGAGGAAGAAGGAGAAGAAGAGGGAAGGAAGGAAGGAGGTGGTGGAGGAGGAGGGGGAGGTGGAGGTGGAGGAAGGAGGAGGAGGAGGAGGAGGAGGAGGAGGGGAGGAGGAGAAAAAGAAAAATGAAGATGGAGGAGGAGGATAATAATATAATAACAATAATAAGGATGAGGAGAAGAAGAAGGAGAAGAAGAAGAAGAAGAGAAAGAGGAGGAAGGGGAAAAAGAAGGGAGAAGAAGAAAAAGAAGGAGGAGGAGAAGAAGAAGAAAAAGAAGAAGAAGGAGAAGAAGAAGGAGAAGAAGAAGAAGTAAACCTATCTACGTAACAGAACGTTGAGATGTCTATGGTTCTATATCTCAGCCGATCCAACGACATGGAACAAAAAGGCTAAAAGCACCTCAAAATAAGCAAAGAAATAGACTATTAATAAAACTTTTTTTCGTATAAAAGGATCCGAGGTTGGAGTCCCGGGGGCAAGGCAAAAGAAGACAAGGCATTCAATTACAAAGATACAAATACGAAAAGATAGAGGGTAGAAAAGAAGACGCATATGACAGTATATGAAGTGAAAAATATGTACATCGAGAAATAAAAATGTACGTCCATAAACAATATCATTAACATTATCCACCTCTGTACGATAAGTTCTGTAGTTGAAGTGAAGGGAAGGAGGGAGGCAGAGGGAGGGAGGGAGGGAGGGAGGGAGGAGGGAGGGAGGAGGGAGGGAGGGAGGAGGGAGGGAGGGAGGGAGGAGGGAGGGAGGGAGGGAGGGAGGGAGGGAGGGAGGGAGGGAGAGGAGAGAGGAGAGAGAGGAGAGAGAGAGAGAGAGAGAGAGAGAGAGAGAGAGATAGAGAGAGAGGAGAGAGAGAGAGAGAGATGAGAGGAGAGGAGAGAGAGAGAGAGAGAGAGAGAGAGAGAGAGAGAGAGAGAGAGAGAGAGAGAGAGAGGAGAGAGAGAGAGAAGAGAGAGAGAGAGAGAGAGAGAGAGAGAGAGAGAGAGAGAGAGAGAGAGAGAAGAGAGAGAGAGAGAGAAATATATCACGTGAGTAATCACATTAATTAGAATAATCGAAAGGAAACGTAAATAATCAAAGAAATCACATTAGCTACCGCACGAACATATCATCATTACTATTATTATTATTAGAATTTATAATAAACAAGGAAAGACAACACCAGACAATGGAGACAAAAAACAGTAAAGTAAAACAAGGTATCAATCAACACAACTTTACATAAGGCAGAAAACCCAAGAGAACAAGAATGGAGATTAAATTGACACGACGGTTTCCTACATTGTTTTTATGAAGGTTCACAAAGCCATATAGTAGATAAATACGAAGACGTATAGCCCGAGAAGAGAAGAAAAAATAGTCACACAGGAGCGGTTCTAAAGTTACGACCGTGAGGAAAGAATAGTCACACGAGAACGAAGTTGTAGCTGATATTGCAGAAGCACGCGTGTATAACGTAAATAAATCCAAGATTAAACTAAGGATTCTGGAATGACAGGGTAAGTAATACAACCAATTAATCTACACCATAAACGTAGAAAAATGGATTATAACAAGGGTAAGAGAGACAACCTTGTAAAAAAATGTGATGTTTTTAGCTGTTTTCTTCTTATTATTGTTATTGTTATCATTATTATTATTATTATTACTATTATCTTCTTTTTTTATTTAGAATTTGTTTACTCTTTTTGTTATCATTATTTATTATTACTCTTATTATTGTTATTGTTATCATTATTATTATCATTTATTACTATATCATTATTACTATTATCATCATTATTGATATTATTATCATTATCATCATCATTATTATTATTATTATCATTATTATTAACATTATTATTATCATTATTATTATTATTATTATTAATCATTATCAATTATCATTATTATCATCACTATCATTATCACAAATACTATCATCTTATTATCATTATAATCATTGTTATCATTATCATTATTGTTGCCATTATTATTATTGTTATCATTATTATTATTCTCATCATTATCATTGTTGTTGTCATCATCATAACTATCATCATCATTATCATCCTTAGTGTTGTCATTACTACCATTATCATCACCATTATCATCATAAAACAAAACGAGGATAAGAGAAGAAGAAAATAATATAATATAATAAGATTAGATTAAACATAATATATCATAAATATTATGATAAGCAAATTATGATATCGTAAATAATATGATAAGCAAATTATGATATCGCAAATAATTATGATAAGCAAATTATGATATCATAAATAATCATGATAAGCAAATTATGATATCGTAAATAATTATGATAAGCAAATTATGATATCATAAATAATCATGATAAGCAAATTATGATATCGTAAATAATTATGATAAGCAAATTATGATATCGTAAATAATTATGATAAGCAAATTATGATATCGTAAATAATCATGATAAGTTAATGAGATAAGCAAACCGATCCCCACCATAACTTGTCTCGCATGTAAGCACTCGCAACCTTAAGAAAATTAGGATTGATATCGGTGATTCGACAAATAAATCGTAGGGAAAAGTAACATTAAAAGATAAAAAGTAACCGAGACAAAGCGAAAGCTAGTTAAGGTAAATGTAATTAAGAATTTTGATCTCCCTAAAAAAATAAAGTTATTAATTATAATCATATGTATACTTTTTTTTTTTTTAAAGTGATCTCCCTAAAAAAATAATGTATTAATTATAATCATATGTATACTTTTTTTTTTTAAAGTGATCCCCTAAAAAAAATAATGTATTGATTATAAATCATATTTTTTTTTTTTAAAGTGATCTCCCTAAAAAAATAATGTATTAATTATAATCATATGTATACTTTTTTTTTTTTTTTTAAAGTGATCTCCCTAAAAAAATAAAGTATTAATTATAATCATATGTATACGTTATGTATACGGATTTTTCAAAGAGATAAAATGTAACTGGGACACGCAAAGCCAGTTAAGGTAATGTAATTAAGAATTTTGATCTCACTAAAGAAAATTTATTTATATCATAATCATATATATACGTTTTTTTTTTTTTTTTTTTTTTTTTTTTTTTTTTTTTTTTTTTTTTTTTTTTAATACCGAAGGCTCTTTCACTATACAACTAATTGGTCGGTTTTGGTCTATTCTGTTTGAGTTATTCTATTCTGCTTTGTTGGTTAATTGGTAGATAGATTTATTGATTTATTCTTTCATTTATGTGTATGTATGCGTATCTGCATGTAGGTACAATTGTTCGTATGTATGTATGTATGTATGTATGTGTGTCATGTATGTACAATTGTTCGTGTATATGTAATTGTATGTATTTGTGTATGTATGTATTATGTATGTATTTGTGTATGTATGTAACATATGTATGTATTTGTGTATGTATGTACATATGTATGTATTTGTGTATGTATGTACATATGTATGTATTTAAGTATGTAACTAATTGTTTCCTTACTTATGAATTTACTTATTTGTACATTTTGTTTATTTATTTGTTTGTTTTAGATGACCCTATAACGGATTTAAAAAGCCATATTTCAGGTACCAAAGCTTTTGAGGCTAAGTTAAAGATTTTGTTAATGATAATGATAAGGATAAAAATCACATTACAAACAAACAAACTCGACGAAAGACGATGATAACAATGGTAGCAATAATGACTCAAACGCCAAACATGTCACCATAAAAAAAAAAACAGTCATAACACATACAAATATACTGCAGCCAAAAGCATCATAATAACTATAAGAAAAAAAAAAAACATGATATTTAAATCCTAATAACAACTATAGGAAAAACATTATAATACTTATAATCATTGCTGTAATCAAAGTCATAACAATACTTATAACCAACATCTAGCTATAATCATATTTCCAGCCA